TAATGATTACTTTATGAAATGTGACATGTCCCTCATCAAATTTACAAATTTAAAATGCAATATACATGTAATTTATAATACTTTATTTGCATATGTGCAGTTAAATAGCTTATATTTACACTGTTCATTTACTAATGACTAAATATGTAATATGTGATACGTCTATCATCAAATTTATAATTTTAATATTGTATATATATCATATATTTTATAAATTTTTTTTCACATTTGTGCATGTGCACATGTTCTGCTAATAGTTTATTGGTAAGATGTGAATTTTTTGATCAACTAATGTATGATCCATGTTGACTGTAGTGGTGGTGGATGAGGACGCGATATTTTATTTCATTGAATTATTTGTTTCTGTCGTTCATTTTGAAATGGACAATGGGTCACTTTGTGAAAATAACATAAGAATAAGGTCACCCGCGAATGCAAGATGGGTGACTCTTAACTGGCCGCACTTCGAGTGGAAGTTGAGGTTTGAGCAATTAGGTCTAGAAGTAATCATGTGATAATCACATACTCCATATTGCTTGTTTATCTTCCAAATAGTAACTAAAAAAAAACCGGACTCATGGCCCATTTCACTACTACTAGTAGTCATCCGTGCGATGCACGGAGATATTATTATCTAGACTGTTATGCAGACAATGATCATGATCATAAGAATAGACATATAAACATATCATTAAATTGAAAAAATCATATATTATTGAACACTTCCCTATATACAACATTATTGGTTTGATTCATTGGCACGTCATCTTCGCCACAAATTAAGATTTTCAAACCTTTTCATTTACTGACACGGGAAATAGCAACATATAACTGGCCATGACTGAACACTGGTTTCTTAAGAAATAAGCCAACATGAGATAAGAATTGTCCCTGGCTCTTGTTTATAGTCATGGCGTAAGAAACCATAATGGAAAACTGTCGCCGCTGTAACTTGAAAGGAATTCTAACATCAGAGGAGTTATGGTCATTCTTGGAATCAACACGTTGTCACCAGCATGATCTCCTGTGAGTATCTTGCACTCAAGAACGTGAGTCGATAGCTTTGTCACTACCAATCGTGTCCCATTACACAAACCCATAGAATGATCCATGTTCTGCAACAACATGACTGGAGTTCCAATCTTCAAATACAACTCATGGTTCGGTATTCCGGAACACTTGATACTATTCAAAAACTCAGGCGTATGGAGATCAGACAAAAAAATCATTATTAGAATCCGATTTGCACGTACTGTCAGAGCTCAAGTACATACGACCATCCAACAAATTCAATGATGTCATGTACTGATTGATAGACTCGACCACATCCAACGTAGGCGCTAATATAGCCCTATCCTTCAAATAACTTGGATAGTCGGGTGCCTCTTTATACATTGGACATGTGCTTTCAACTATCTGAGCAATAGGATCATCAGATGTCTGAAGCAAAATGTCCTCGGGTATGTCTATAGGTGCACATCCATCATTCAACCCTATGATAGTTCCATCTCCGATGTTGGCTATCCAATCTGCAAACCGTGCAAGCTCATCACATTCATCCGAATTAGCAAGTCCCTGAAGGCGCATTTTTTCGTAAGCCTAAGCACAGTACAACTCCTCCATATGTCAGAAGAATTAATGGCAGCATTAACTATGTCCTGACGGCTACCCTTTAGAATGACTGGAAGGATTTGTCGAAAATCTCCACCAAAAACAATCGGCATCCCACCAAACGCTTTGTTCAAGTTCAAAGGATCAATTGCTCCCATAATACCCTGCAGCGATGTCTGTACAGCTTCGAAAGAATGCTTGTGCATCATTGGTGCGTCATCCCATATTATTAGAGAAGCACGAATTATCATGATAAGATTAGTAAAACGTGATTTATGAGATTGTTAACTCTAGATTTATCCACCGTAGTACTCTGCATTTGTTATGTTTTTTAAATGAATGACATTGAATTCAAATGGAATACATTTCAGTCAATCCAAACACAAATGATTATCACGTTGGTATGGACCGAAACTTTTATGATGATAAGATAAGTGGAAAGTAGTTAAGAAGTGGAGATTTTTGTGTGATAGCATCATTACATAATTACCATCACCATCAATCTTTCCATTAAATTTCGGTCCATACCAACGTAATAAAAAAAATTCTTGAAAATTTTTTCACATCAAACAAATAATATAATTACGTCAAAAATTTTGTACGTCAAAATTTTAATTCAAACAAATCTTTCCATCTTTTTACGTCAAGATTTTAATAATAATAATTTATATATAACACAAATTAAAATAAATTGTAATCAAATTCATATTTATGAATATAATTCATTATGATAAATTATTGAAAAATCACGCAATATAATCCATTAAATGTACTTGATTTAGTTATTGGATAATTCCGTAAATCTTTTTGTTCAAATAAAGAATACACCAATTTTGAATTCAAATGGAATTCAAAGAGTGATACTCGGTCAATAAAAAACTAAAACAATTTTGAAATCAAATTGTAATTTTCAACCTTATCATGTATGGTGATAAGATAAGTGCAAAGTAGTTAAGAAGTGGAGATTTTTGTGTGATAGCATCGTTACATAATTAACATCTTTCAATTAAATTTCTGTCCATACCAATGTGATACAAAAAAAATTGTTGAAAAATTTTTTACGTCAAAATTTTACGTCAAACAAATATTATAATATTTTACGTCAAAATTTTAGGTCAAACAAATCTTTCCATCTTTTTACGTAAAAATTTTAATAATAATAATTTATATATAACACAAATTAATATAAATATTATAATCAAAATTCATATTCATATTTATGAATATAATTCATTATGATAAATTATTGAAAAATCACGCAATATAATCTATTAAATGTACTTAATTCAGTTATTGTTAATTTCGTAATTTTTTTTTTATAATCTTATATTTGAAATATTTGTTAAAATTTGTATTAATTTATATCTTGTATCATGGCATTCTACCAATTTTAAACTAATATACAGTAGAACTCAAAAATAAAATGTTCAAATTTTCACAATCATGCGACATTTAATAAAAAAAATATCCAACGACATTTTATAACGACAACAAATATAATAACACTAAAATTTATTATAGAATTCGGAATTCAACGACATGGAATGAAATTAAAATTCATAATAATCAAACTCTAAATATCATAAATATCTTCTGCTCCTTGCTAATGTTGAGGGAAAATATCAACATTTTGAGGGAAAATCTCACCATATTTGATAACATGAGTTCTTCCATGAAGCACAAGTTTCCATATGTTGGTTATGATATCCTTCTTCCCATTATTAAATTCAACGACATAGTTGCTGATTGCATACACCTCGCCTTCGTTCAGTACACCTCGAAATGCTCCCATATGTTTAGAACGTATTATCCCTTTAATAAATGTACCCTACAGTATAAATTTATAACTATGAATTAAAATATTTTTTAAAATTACATAAATTTGATATACAAATATAAATATTTACCTGTTCATCATGAAACAGTTGATGATACGTTTCAACTATTAGGACTGCTATCTAGTGCAAAAAAGGCTTGTTTCTTCTACTCACAGAATCGAGTGTATCCGAGACTGGCGGCATTTATTATCAATGTGTTTTGAAATTTATCTTTTTTTTTTTCTCTGTAAAATTTATCTTTTTTTTTTTTTTTTTCTAAACTGTGAATGACGTGAATTGTTGAGTAGTGGTAGTGCATATGATTTTATACCAAACAACCGTTTTTGAACTAAAGATTCGCATAATTATGTAATAATAATTATAGATCCAATTGTGACTTATCCACATATCCATATAATATCTCTAATCAATTTATTTTTGAATTAATTATGTAATGATAATTATGGATCCAATTGTGATGTATCCACAATCCCAATAATATCTCTAATAATAATCATGGATGCAATTGTGACTTATCCACATATCCCTATAATATCTCTAATCAATTAATTTTTGAATTAATCATGTAATGATAATTATGAATCTAATTGTGACTTATCCACAATCCCAATAATATCTCTAATAAACAAATTTTTGAATTGAAGTATGACTTTTTTAAAATTTCGTGTATTATAAATACAGTAAATATGGTTTCTATATTTAGATTGTCAAAGTTTTTTTTTGGTCAAAAGTTTCTAAAAAAATATTTTAACAACCTTTATATATATATATATATATATATATATATATATATATATATATATAGATTTTAATCACATACTCCTATTTTTGATAACCGTGATAGAAACCGGACTGGTCATTAGCCTAGAGCCCTAGACGCAACTCACTCTTTACAAAGATATAGTTATTAAGTTTATCACTTCATTCAAAGCTCCAATAATGATAAATCCATTGAATCCCCAATTAATTTACTCTTAAATTTTAGTTGATAGTTAGTGCATTTAATGAATAATTCAAGCTAACAATTTATCTTAAATTATTTATAAATCTCTGAAATTATTGAGAATATAGAAAGTAAATGAAAAGAGATAATTTGGGCATTTGGTGGATACCTACAACATCCAGATTGTTCATGGGTCATGATGCCTAGTTCCCCTTGGGCTCGGGCCCAGCCCAATCGCTTTTATTAATTAATAATTAATCGCGCAAGTGGAGGCACAATCGTGAACCTCCATTAAGTCATTAACTTAACCATTTCATTTCTCCACGGGAATCATAGCCTTCAGGGCCCACATCCGCCCATGTCCAGACTGGCTCCAACTTCACTTTACTATTTTTTAATTTCTTTTTCTCTACGTTATTGTTATTATTTCTTTTAAACTTTTCCATTTTTATTTATCAAATTCTCAATTTTAATTTTGTTTGTTGTCGTCCAGTAATATTTTCATATTATCAATATCAATTTGCAAATTATTTATTATTGGGTCTTTCTCGACTTCCATCCACCTCCCAAGCCAAGGTATTGTATAAATAATTTTTTTTTTTTTTGGCTCAAGTCCAAAGTCCACTTTCAAGTTTCAACTGTGCAATAGTGACTTGCAATTTGCAAGTCTTGAAAAGCTGCAACACAATCTTATCACAAGAGGTTAATGGTCATAAATTAAATTAAATTAAAACGAGAAGTAAGTATGTAAACAAAGCGAATTTTGACGGAAATTACCTCACACAAACCAACGGACGGAGATGGCGAACAATGATGCCGAACGTGAAAATAGCGACGGCGAACGGGAAATGCCAACACGCAATGGATGGATAATTCATCTGAACAGAACGGAACCGAACACGTTACCGATAGGTACCAACGAAGGGATTGATAAGTGGATTAACTAACTAACCAACACACCAAGCCAAAACCCATTCCTTTTTTTTTTTTTTCAAGTTTGTTTTTGATTAATTAACAGTTTAGTGGAACTCATTCAACTGCAAGGACGGGAACAAACTGGTCTGTTTTCAATGTTTAGTAGGGTTTTTTTTTGCTATTCTATAATATCCTTGCAAATTCCAAATCACTATGTACAACCAAGGGAGAGAGACATCAACCACTGTGTTTTCCAAAATTTCTCCGGTTTTACAAAAACAGTCGCCGGACATCTGAACTGATAGTCTTCGGATAGATCTGACCTTCGCCATGGAAGAATAGAAATCTGCGACAATATCAAATAACCAAACCTGCAAACTCAGATTAAAGGTCCTCGGCTTTGGACATGACCGAGAGACGGCTTTGACGGGGCCGGAAGTCCGCCCGACGGCGCTGCTGGTGCGAGGACGGGCGGATAAGGGCTGCCAGAGCCCGCTTCACCAGATCTCCCTCGACGGTTCCGATCCGCACCAGAGAATTCGTCATCGCCGACCTCCTCATGTTGAGCCGGTGCGGAGAGTAGGGAGCCGAGCCGTTCCGGCCGCCGCCTACGCCTCCGAAGCTGTTCTTGTGCAGAGCGCAGCGGAACGACCCCGGATGCGTCGTCGGAGAGCACAGGCACGTCCTCCTCTGAACGCCGCCGCTTCTCTGGACAACCTGGTTGCGCGGCGGCGGCGACGCCGCGATTGAGCGCCGCGGCGAGATGGATCTGTCGATGGGGAACCGGACGGACGGCGTTGGCGGCGGCGGGGACAGCGTGTGGACTTCTACCTTCTTTGGTGACACCGAACGGCGGTGGGTGAAGAAACCACCGGAGGGGGAGGACGAGTAGTAGGTTGACGAGGAAGCGAACGACGAAGACGACGCTGACGTGAAAGGCGACGGATCTGACGTCACCGACGTACAGAAAGGACCGGAACGCCGGAAGCCCAACGAGACCGGTATTACCCCGCCCTTCGACTTTCTAGAAGATGCGGCCATGGCTGCACTTTTCTTCCTTAATTTTTTTTTTTTCGGTTTACTTTTGAGAGGGTTTAAAATTAAAATATCTTATGAAGAAAGAAAAAAGAGAGAGGAGAAGGAAGATTATTTTATATGTATTTTCTTAGAGGGCCCTGAGGCTCTTCATTTCGGCAAACCTAGCTGGTGTGGAAAGCTTGATTTATAGCCGGGGATGGGAATGGCAGGTATCGTAAATTAAAGCTGTGTAGAGGGGTATAGTGGGAAAAGTAGGGTGAGATTGGGTGATAAGTTTGGTTTGGTACTCGAGGTGGGGCCCATGGCATATGGATTGGCTGTGGGGGAATCTGATCCAACGGCCGAGATGATGTGAAAGTGGTAAACGACGAAAGGAGGAGGGCCGAGAAGCCGTTTTGTGGATTGGCTGCCACGCAATACGATGTAAGAATTAAGATATGGTGGTGGTGATAATATAGGTTTTTTTAAATTCGAGGACAATAGCTACTGTTGACCAATTAAAAAGATAAATTGAATTGATTTGGTTGGGTTGGAAAGATTTCAATGTTTTGGGTGAAGAGGCTCTCTATGGACATTGGTGGCCTTTGGATGCTACGTAACGCCAAACAAAATATGTAATCAAAATCAAATTGCCTTTATATAAATTCTAATCCTATTTTATGCTTCTTTCTCGTATGAAAAATGTTATATGTGTTAGATGTTCAAAAATGTCAGCAACAGAGGGTAAACTGTACACTAAATTGTATACTCTGTTCAATCTGAACAAATAGATTTGTTCTGAAAATATGGGTTGAATCCCTCTTCTATTCATGACTTTTGGAGGAGAATATATGAATTAAATTGTACAAAAGAAATAAGAAAATATTAGTAGTAATGCCTCTCAGAGAATTGTGATGTTTTTTCTCCTTTTCGAACGAATGAATCTCTTCTCTTTTTTTCTCCATCATTGAGGCTTAGTGTATAGTTAGTTTATAGTGTAGTACACTTGTACTACATGTACTATTCACTATGTAGTACAAGTCTACTATTCACTATATGTAGTACAAATGATATTTTATTTGTTGTGTTTTTATTAATCGTAGCCAAATTGGGTACCAACAATAGGTACATAATATTGTAAATAAGAGTGTACATAATACTCACATTATGTGGGACCTATCAAAAATAAAAAATCAAGTGGACCCCACTCCATGTGAGTGTTATGTACACCTCTATGTACATTTATGATGTACTTGTAGCATTTTCTTTCTCGTATTGTGTTTATTTTTTGTGCATCATATAATTTGTTTGGGGATAGTTGATATTAGGATTTTTAAAATCATAAACATATATTTATCTTAAATTCTGAAATATTATGAAAGTTTTACAATTTAACAAGTACTAGTAAGCATCTCGTGCGATGCACGGGCATGTTTGTACCTTAAAACTTTTTTTAAAACATTATTTTAACAATGCATTAGCCCGTTGATCCGTTTATATTAATACAAATAATATTTTTATACAAATATTTGTTTGTTGATACATAAATAATCATTTTACTTATTATTATTCATCATAATATTTAAATATTATTTTATTCTAAAATTTAATTTCATATAGTTTCATTATTATTAGTTATAGCTCTTATAAAAGTAGTATTCTTTTTTTTTATATATAATGATAAGTATTTAGTTTACATCAATATTAGTTGTTGATGTAATTAATTTAAAAATATATAAACAAATTTCAAATAACTATTGTGCCATATATGCATTTTATTCTATTTTTAGAATTTATTCTATCTCATAATAATTAAAAATAAAATCATATAAATAAGATTCCCCATTGGCGCTGCAGCGCGCCCAGACGACTCACATGACACGGCCATGGCCAGTGGATGGCCCAACGACGCCATGGACATGCGGCGAGTATCCTGATGACCAGAATCCGACAACCCTTACGACGACTGTATTCGGACTCGACAGTGACACAACTTAACTCGGCGCAGCCACGACGAGCGGTAGAAATGACACATGGTAGACGAGGAGCGACCTATGATTTTTCGGCTAACCAGCTTACCATATCAAGAGTTTGCTGGAAAAAAATTATATGCTGATAAAGAAATTTCAGTTTCAATAGGACGTGGACTGATTTATTATCTAATTCAGCTAGAGTTCTAATTAATGGGCATAATAATGTTAACGAAGTGTATTAGTTATGGAACTGTATGTATTAAAAATCCTCATATAATATACTAAGTGGGATGAAATTTTAAAATTAAGCTAATTTTGAAAATCTTACAACCGGTTTGTCGGTGATGCAGTTTATTTGAAAGTATGGGTTTCGCCACCCGTTGACATTACTGAAAAATCAATTGTGGGTTACTAGTTTAAGCTTCCATTAAATGATTTTCAGAAATCGTACTTAGAGCGTGTGGGCCCTGTCACCTATGGAACATTCAATCTTTGATGGTAACCTTAGGATTAAGATGATTGCAGGAAGTTGTGTTAGAGCATTCGGGCCTCGCCACCCAGGGACGTACAATATTTTCTGATGACCTTAGGATTAGGTAATGGCTTACACTTAGAATGCTAGAATATTAATAACCCCCCACCGGAGTTCCTTTTTTTTTTATTGCATGGCCAAATAGAGACCGACTATTATTTTCGTTCGCCATGAATTTGGTTTTGGCTAAGGGAAAGCGATGAGTTTTTGAGAAACCCTCCTCTTGCAAATGTTGAATGCGTAAGGCCACCCACCATGACATGCATTATTCTCAGTGTTTTGAGATGTTGGTGAATTTAAGTTAATATTGTTTTGAGTATATCAATATTATTGGTTAAATTTAAAATGTTCAGTTATTAACACTTTTTCGTGATTCTCGTGTTATTCAAACATGCATTTCAATATGTTGTCATTTATCCTCAAAGATAAAAGTTACTTGTTCAATCTTGATTTGAAATAGAACTTTGATAGGGTCCTAAAATGCTAAAAATATAAGCCGAAAAGCAAGTGTGTCCGGTTTAAGCGGACATATGAAGTCAAACTGGCCTATTCTTTAAAGATAAGAAAGGTAAAACTTATTCACTAGGAAGTAAGTTTTTTTCAAGGAAATAAAATCGACTGAGTGATAGGTATGTACCATCTAGAATGGGTTTTGCTACAAAAGTGGCAGCTATTATAGTGAGAGTGTTCTAGCAAAAAGAATTTTGGTTTCGAAGAATTGTCTTTACGTACCACGTTTTAGAAAGAATTCGATTTCAGTTACTAAATTGTGTATAAATATTACATTTTGTTTGATGACAAGTTTGTTGTCATGAAAAAGAAACATTTTTTTTTTTCATTTGGTATGTGAGTTGACGATTTGTGAACTCAAGTAACCAAAGTGTCTCATAGTACAATAAATGAAAATGATTAAAACATCGTCGAAAACCAATAAAGAGAAAAAGGTATATTACTTGTGTCAATGATAGTTTAATAGGAATTTTATAGTTTCTTGTTTTTGGGTTGTGTAACAGCAACTTAAGTTCTAAACATAGTTCCATCTAAGTCAGTAGCTTCTACTTCGAGACGATTATGGACAGGGCAGAGGCCCAATCAAAACATATTCGTAAGCAGAGTGTTTTCATCATACGGTTGAAAAGTTGATAAGGAAAGTCGCTTGGAAATTTGGTTGTTTGTGGGATACTCCATAGTAACGACAATGTGGTATATTTTGTAGTATTGAAAATCATAAGGTAATTGTTTACACGAATACCTGATTTTTAGAGGAATACTAAGTAAAAAACCACAAAGTCTGTTTGTAAAATTGCTATAAGGAAAGATAAAGGTGAATGTTCAACTTCGTTATTGTGTGTACGAAATTTTATACCACGATAAAATTGCAACTTGAGTCATGAGTAATACACCTTTGCTGGAGGCACCTCGTCGTATTGGGAGGAATGCATAGTAGTTTGATGGATACATGTTCTTGAGAAAGTCTTTAGACTTAGTATCTAATGAACTTGAAACTGATCTCTGGTTGTACGATAAGGTGATCGTTGTAGTGGGAGGCCTGCAACGCGACTCAATAAATTCATGTAAATGTGAGTCATTGGACTTAGTCTCTGAATAACATGAAACTTGAATTCATGTTCTTGATAAAGTCTTTCAACTTAGTCTATGGTGAATGTAAAATAAATCTCTGGTTATACAATGGGAATCTACGAGACAATGATGCAGGACCTTAGCAAATGATGATGTTTCTTGATTTAGGGCCCAAGACCCTAAATCAGATTTGAGATCTTGTAAAACCACCAAGTGGCGTAAAGGCCATTGGTGATAATGAACTTACAATTAAGATCGTGAAGACTTTAGAGTAAGGCTTGTAGTGAAATAGTAAACTCAGAAAGAATGAGATCTATTATGCTTTAACTTTTTCGTTGGTAGTCATACTTGAGTCTATACGAACTGTTAGCCTGTGGCCGCTTATACTAGATATGAGATTTGACATTGTAGATGTTAAGACAAAGGTATGTGGGAATATCCATAGAGCCGCACCTAGAAAGTTTCATTGTGGATTGCTAAAAGCATCTAGTCTGTAACATGAAACGGTCCACTTGTGGAGTGAAGTAAGTTTTATATCTGGTACATTTGGTTGATGAATCAAGTTTGTGCAAATGAGCATTGTGTGTAGTGTGGTGATATTTTTGTACTGTGCATAGACGATATATCATTAAAAATAGTGTAAGGATGCTGTCAGACGCAAGGGTATACTTATCCAAGCCGTTAGATATGAAACACGCTTGTTTACAAATTAATCCGCTTACAATGAAGTTTTTTGTTAACTATGATTAATTTTGAAAAATTTGATATGATTACTTGTTAGTGAAATTTTGAATTTGTAATAAAATAATATTTGAAATTAAATAATTAAAGTTGAATTAATGAATAATAAGAGAGATGGTCTGAAGTGATGATTAGTTAAAATTATGCGAATGAATGAATAGTGGTTAAAAATTAATGTGATGTAATGTGATGTGTAAAAATAATTAATTTTTATTATTTAATTATATATATAATATTAAGAATAGTAAAATTTGAGTTAAATTTTGAATATAAATTAAATATAAAAAGAAATGTTTTGTAAACAAGCTATAAATAAATATCACTCTTATGACTTATCCACCGCCATACGACTAAGATGTGAGTTTAGTTCTGTAGCCGAACACGCTTTTATCCATAAGCTATCAAATCTGCTATACCGACTTTCCCTAAAGTTCCCACATACTGAAAAGCACATTCCCTGCAAACGCGGCCAAAATTGGACGAAATTATGCCATCTTGGTCAGCTCTCCGACGGTCCACGTGGATCCACCGTTCTCCCGCCGCTCAAAGCTCCAACGTCCGCCGATTTTCCGCCGCGCCTCCACCGCCTGAGTTGGCGTACTGCCAGAAGAGTTCTCATGGCCGTGGGAAAACGAATTTTCTAGGATGGATTTCGGCCGGAATCATCGCCAGCTCCACGATTTCACTCTCTCTGTACTCCTTTTCCCCACCATCCCCCGGTTCCAGTTATTTTTCCTTCGCGGACTGGTCGGCGCCGGGTCCCACGACCGTTGCCGAGGCCGCGGTCGCTGTTTCCAATTCCGGCCTGCACAATCAAAACAGTGAATCTAAATTCCTGTTTGGAGGTAAAGGGAAGGTGCCATTATTCTTTGAACAACTGGTCCACGGAGATTTTTCTTGTGGTGCTGATTAATTTTTATATTAGCATGTTGAGACTTTTTTGTTTAATGTTGTATGCAGAAGCATTTAGGAGGAAGATATTTTTTAATTACGAAAAAAGAATCAGAATGCGTAGTCCTCCTGAGAAGGTACTAATTTGAGCTCTGTATTAGTTTCAATTAGAAAAAAAGAAGGAGATGATATCTCATGGTTCGTGTTATGGCTAAGTTTTGTTGAAGCGATTGGATTAAAGTAAACAGTTCCCGATTTTGACTAGTTATAGAGCATTTACCCACTATCGGTAGAAGAACCAAAAAGAGAAATGGAACTGGGTTTGTGGACACAAAGTGGATTCTTTGTTATAGTAATTTCTCTGCTTTGTTGGTCTTAGAAGGATATAGGCATTGTTGATTGAAATTGAAAATGGGAGTTGTTAACCTGGCATTTTGTAGATCGCGATGTGATAAGTTTCACGTGACCTCCAATGTAGAAGAGACTGTGGACCTCTAGTAAATAAACACGCCTGGAGGCTAGTCTGGTCCTAGGGGATTGCTCACCTTCTTGTTCTTATTTGTTGTGAAACATAAAAGACATGTTTTCTTTATAATTAAAGTTTTAACTATTGTATGTTACATTCTTAACCCTTGTCGCTTTATTCCTAAGCTTGATATACACAAAATGTGATCAAATATCGGATTGACCATGTTCATTTGACAGGTGTTTGAGTATTTTGCATCCATCTGTGCCGATGATGGAGAAATTTTTATGACACCAGCTGACCTTATGCGAGCACTAGTTCCCGTGTTTCCTCCATCTGAATCGAACCTTGTAAGAGATGGATATCTCAGAGGGGAAAGGAGTCCTGGAGAGTTGCGTTGTGCCCCATCCCAGTTTTTTATGCTCTTCGACACGAATAGTGATGGTTTAATATCATTCAAAGAGTAAGTCAAATTTGTACTTTGTGTCATTATGGTTTGATTTTCTTTGCTTTATGATATATTTCTTTGCCCATAGGCTTTCCTTTTCTCTGCCTTTTCCTGTCTCTCCCCCCACTACATTACAATTTATTTTATGGAACCGAAATGTCTCCTGAACGACTTAAAGTTTTCTAATGAATCTTCAACAGGTATTTATTCTTTGTAACGCTACTCAGTATACCTGAAACAAGCTTTTCAGTGGCATTTAAGATGTTCGACCTTGACTGCAATGGGTATGTACCAGTTTAATATTTACATATCAATAAGCTTAGTTGGAGTCCTTTTGGGTTAATTTGTAGTAGACACTTCCAATGTTCATTCCTTATTATGAAAATCACACCTTCGTTGTGATTCGTTAGATAGTTGGAGAACTTGAGTGAAAATAACGTTTGGTTTGTTTTAGATGCATAAATTGATGGAAAGAGAACAGGTTGGAGTCAAGTCAAATATTTATTTTATGTGACTTACTCCTGGAAGAAAATGGATGTTCTGATTTATAGAGATTGAGAAAGTAATTTAATGTTCTCGATATAATCACCTTCAGAACTTGTGCCTTCACAATCATGGTCTAGTTTGTATATATAGAAAGAATTTCCTTAATTTCACCGGTTTCTGTATCCTGCTATTGTGTTTTAAAAGACTGCTCAATTTTTATTTTATTTTTTTCGTGGATGATGAGAAGTCTCTTTCTCTGAATAGGGAAATTGATAGAGAGGAGTTTATGAAGGTGATGACTTTGATGCGAGCTCATAATAGGCAAGGGGCTGTTCACAGTGATGGATTTCGAGCAGGCCGCAAGTTGGGTGGTTCAAAAGAAGATGGAGGGTTGTTAGAGTACTTCTTCGGGAGAGATGGCAAGAATCTACTTCACCACGATAATTTTGTCCAGTTCTTGAGGGATCTTCATTATGAAGTAGGTCCTCCTTCTCCATCTGAATTCTGAATAATAAGAATAAAGTTTGCATGTGATGGTTGACCTCGTCCTCATTAGAAGTCATATCGACATATCCAACTTAATGTTTCAAGTGCTCTCCACACGTGCTGCCTGATTCATTAGTGTCCTTGATCCACTCAACTATAATGTTTTAGTTTCTGGGTTGGCTTGGCTGATTTTTTCATACCAAGCATAGTTCTCAAACAAGCTTTCCCCATCTATTTGTACTGTGTGTATATAGCAGTACTTAAATATACTGCTTCAACAGAAACGATCAAGCCTTCTTCCGTGAAGACTGCTGCTGCTTCAATTCATGTGACTTCCTGTCTGCAATAGTTGTGAACTAAAATTTCTGCGAATTAAGAGAATTGCCCAACTCTTTTATCATACTAATGATCTGAATTAATTAGTAGATTATAGAGTTCCTTGCTGTAAAGTTATTAATTTCTACTTTCCCCCTTGTCTGCACTCGCTCTGTTATTTAATGATTTTATTGTTCTTTTTTGCACTTTGCAGATTGTAAGGCTGGAGTTTGCTCATTATGATTACAAGTTACGAGGAACCATATCTGCCAAGGATTTTGCGCTGTCCATGGTTGCATCAGCCGATCTGAAACACCTGAACAAGCTGCTCGACCGCGTTGACGATTTAGATAATCAACCACGTCTATCAAATATCCGCATCACGCCCGAGGAGTTTTCGAATTTTGCCGAGTTACGAAGGATGTTACAGCCATTTTCTCTGGCACTTTTTAGTTTCGGCAAAGTAAATGGGCTATTAACAAGGAAAGATCTACAGCGAGCAGCTTACCAAGTAGGTTCTTTTTCTCAGTACTCTGCTTTTGTATAATTATTTGTTCATGGTTATAATAGTTTTCTGGGTGAATAATTTATGTTGTTACAGGTCTGTGGGGTATCTCTAACTGACAACGTGGTAGACGTTATCTTCCATGTATTTGATGCTAATCGAGATGGGAACTTGAGTTCAGATGAGTTTGTTAGAGTTCTCGTTAAGCGTGAGAGGGATATTGCTCATCCTACGGAGGCAGGTATCCTAAGCTTTTTGTCTTGCTGTTGGCATTGCTCGAATGCCCACTCTATTACTCGGTTTATGTCCTAATCTTTTGAGATAATGCAAGTATTGTGTCTAACCAGTGGCATTCGGGGCCCCCCTCATATTTGATAGGGCTGACACTTTGTTTTGTGAGTAATATAAATCTTGAAAGTTGAAAGTGTAACTAATGGGTATTTTGCTTAAACTTTGAATGGTCCTTTTTATTATGTTTTTGGCTGGTTAAGAGTTAAGACCATAATAACAACAAACTTGGACGTTTTTTTGTTGTGTAGTTTCTCATTTGTCTACTTAAAACGCGGGATACTTTGAAAACTTCAGCAGTNGGGCTTCCAGGTAATGCCAAAAGAAAATCATAAAAAAACAGAACAGTTTGAACGTTGAATATATACCATGGAACAAGTGTTGACCCTTGACACAGTCAAAACTCACAAGAGCCGACACTCTGAAAAGAAGGCATTTGTGCAGTGAAACCCGGGCCTGCCACCACCTGGGTTTCCGGTTACTGGGATGATGCCCTTTTTTTTTGTTTTTTTCTTTTTTAAAAAATACATTAGTGATGATGTCACTTCAGCTAAAGTCATTTTTATAATGACATGTTATATTTTGAAAAATCAATATAAACAGATGCGCTGACCAGACTGCGCTACACCTTGTCTCGACACCCCCGAGCATAAAATAAAAGTTATTTTAGATTGGATAATATTTTTGTTAAAAACTACAATTGAAAAAATATTTCTTTTAATTTAACTATTCATCAAATGTCACTTTTCTCCTTAATAATTTTATTAATACAATTTAATAATAGAATCAATCATTAAAATTGGTATGTAAAAAACCATAGACTGGCTCAGTTCGACCCAGATTGTCTTTTCTGTTGGTTGATGATCTTCGGTACCTTACAAACTCAACATTGGAGGGGTTTTCCAGTGTCGAGGCTCCGATGTTTAAGTAAGAACACGAATGAAGACGATGAACAATAATAGTGTATGTAAGCTCTGTAAATAAAGAATGTAATGTTCTAGTGGACATATTTTCACTCTCTTATATAGAGATATGTTACCTTGTTGCTCAAGACAGCACGAATGGGTTGCCCGATCTACCAGTCTGTACTGCTCGATCTGCCCAATTGTGTTAGGCCACGTGACCCTATCAACGTGTGGTTCTTATCCTGATAATATTTCGTCTTATACATTAGTCTGTCTTATTAGACGGTCTAATTGTGCGACTGACCCAAATCACCTCGAAGTAGAATATTGTGTCTATTGAGCTCGCACGTTCTGCTTGTCTGGTCGATCCCACAACCAGTTATACCTTCAAGTCGAGTTTTAAACAGGCCATCCGAGGACTCTAGCTCGACTGTCGGTGTCTCTATGAACCTGCGATGTCTTCATCGACCTCAGATTCATTGTTCTGTAGCTCCGTTCGGCCTACCTGTACTTTTGGTCGACCAACTAGTCTTCTTGGCCCGGCTAGCTGGTTTATCGAGTTTATTCGACCTGGTATGATATCTAATATCATTTGGTCTCTCACTCTGGTCGAGTTAGGATAACTCGATCAAAGAGTAGAATTTTGTTTTTGACTTTGCTTGGTGAGTTACTAAACACTTTTATCATATCAGCTAGCTTTTCAACTATGAGTTGTAAGCTATCAGCTATAAACTCGATATTCACTTATAAGCTACCAGCTAACGTATCATTTATAAGCTAGTTTTACCAAACATGTCCTTAATTGAGACCTTTTAGGGCCAGGTAGCCCTCGTACATATCTGACAATAGGTATCCCTTCATCTTACCATTAGATTGATAAAAACTTCAGTCTCAACCCTACATTTAATGTACGAGAAAAAAAAGTATATTGATTGCCTCGTACACCTCGTACATGCTAAATATCTATTAATCTTGTTAGAATATCACTTGTAAGTTGTCTTACATCGTTCATATATAGAAAATAGACCCACCTTATAAGTCTTATGGGCTACTACTCCTTCCACCAATTGGTTTTGGGATGGAACCCTACTTGGGCTTCATATGGGCTTTCCCCTGTCATGGTGCACTTCATGTTTAGTGGGCCCGCACCCGTTTTCCCCCAATTTCTGTCAAATCCCTTATTTTGATTTTTTTTTCTTTTTTTTTTCATTAAAAAGTTATATTGTACTTAATTTCTAACTCATGTATATAATAAAAATAACTAAAAAAAAAGGTAATTTAATTAAAAATGTACTAAAATTGAATATCTGACCATCTCGCCGCCACCCGCCGCTGCTGGCCACCACCATTAGTCGTCGTTCGTCTACCATTAGTGGATTTCAACAAGTCATATATCATTTTAAGCTCTTGATAACATCTATCCAACGACATGTTTAATTTCATCATACGATACTGTTAGTGTTATATACTGAAAGCTTAGTTTTGCATGTTATTACACATTTACCCTTTATGAATGAGAATAATGTTAGATTAAACAAGCTCTACGTTCTGTTGTTCTGCACTTAGATGGAGTGGGTCGTCATCGGGCGAACCGAAAATCACTCTATCAGTTACTTGCGAACAAGAATAGTTGTTCACAACCTAGATGGACATGAACACCCCATCCGCACGGTTGTAGTGTCAACTGTACAGTTTGTCTTGACTGATTAGTTGCACAGTACATTTATGTATTGAACAGGATCCCAGAGAGGAGAAGTTCATTTTATACTGATCGTCGTAAATGAACTAGGCCTCGGTTAATTACTGCGTTCTCCTAACCCGTAAGATATTAAACAGACAGATATATATAATATATATTACTTTGATTCACATGGGTGAGGTTCAGTTCGCTGGATTAATATTCTTACTGTTTTGGGTAATATTATTATATATAGGATGTGCTGTTAGGATATTTACGGTCACTATGTGCGTCAGTTTGATGATGTTCCCGGAGTGAGTTCATGAATGATTGTTATGCTAAACCCTGCAGGTGGATTAAATTCCGGCATAATAAGAATGTGATGAACGAGCGCTAGCTTCGGTGAAATAATAATAAATTAATTAATTCTTGATTGTCAGTAATCGAATTAATTAATGACATTATATCTTAAACGTGGGGAGGTAAATCGAGTAATTATTATTGGAGTCTCAAATGTAATTTGGGCTAGGAAGAGGGAGTGCAATAATATAATGTTGGTGGCCCATTACTATTATTTAATTAATTAGAGGAGTGGGCTTGACCCACAGTTAGTCTAATTAATTAAGGAGTCCTTTTCCTAATCTCCTTAGGGTCCCTACTGTAGCTCTATATATACATCATTAAGCTCATGAATAGAGTTCACATCTCACGTGAAACACGCCTCACACGCCTCTCTCTCTCTAGATCTCATTCGAGCTTTATCTTCTTCTTGTTGCTCCACTGGTACAAGTTGAAGAAGGGTGTATTGAGTAATACAGTATAAGTTCTGTAGGTAAACTGAGACGAAATATATTTTGACCTACAGAACTAACCGGAAGTCCTATTGAGACGTACAGCATACCCAGACGACCGCCGCGACGAGAGCTTTCCATCGCCACCGAGATCGCCGGAATCCGATGTTTCACGCGCCCTCACGCGCCGCCGCAAGCTATCAGGCTGTAAAATTTTATTTTGATCTGTTTGCATCCGTTTGATCCGGTTTTGATCTGATCTTGTTCGTGCAACCCAAGACGTGATTTGCGGTCAATCAATTGCGGTCAACCGTTCGTGGTAAACCAGATCTACATAAATTTTAAGCCAGAAGTTCTCTACGTCAAACCTTTAGATCCGCTGCGCATAGGTTTACGTTTGCTATTGAATTCGTGACTTGTACATAACGAGATCGTCACAGATCCCAACAGATACCTCAAACTTTGTTAAATCGGTATTAGAGTTTCGAAAAAAAAAATCAAAGAACTGCGCAGTAAATTATTTTGAAATGTCATCGGATATTCGACCGTTAAATATTTGTGAAACATATATATATATATAGAAACTTTTCTCGTAAGGAATCTAGCGGTATCTCTCGAACCTTAAAATAGTTTGAAATGCAAGTGAAGTTTCTAGATTTCCGGCGGCGCGCGGTTGCAGGACAAATACTTCAACCAACAATTTCCGACAACTCAGCTGTCCAAATTTGATGGGTGAACTCTCATTTTGCTCCTATTTTCATGGGAAACAATAAGCCTTAATCAATTTGATATTTTGAACTCATATGAGCATTCAATTAAAAATGATACAACAACAACAACAACAACTACATAGCCTTTTAGTTCCAAGCATTCATTTCATGTCATTTTTTTGGAGCGTACATTCTACATATCATGTTCGGAGGGTAATCAGTTTCTTATGAGCATTCAATTCGAAATGATACTTTCTACATATTTTTTCTTCATTTCATGTCATTTTTTCGGAGGGTACAAAAACAGATGAAGTAGAATTTTGGGTGCCAAAAGCGAAAATAAGATAAAGTTGGGGTATCATATAAAGAAAATTCATTAGTTTTTAAGTAAGGGTAATTTTTAGTAGTTTAATTAATGATTTTATTTTTTATTTTTTATTTTTTTTTAAATTGATGAAGTAAAAGGACATGTGTTATAATTTCAAGGAGTGCAATTGTCGGGTATGTACAATGCACAAAGGGTGTCTGATGGTAGAATTACTCAACTTAATTAGAACTTTTGCAATGGAATCAAAATACCTTCGTAATAGCTTTAGGTATGATTATGATTAGTTAGCAATGATAGATTAAGTATAAATAGGACCGTCTCCAGAAATTTGGAGGTCTCATACAAGTTTTCCTTTTCGAACGTCTCAATTTGAATTTGTGTAGTAATCAGGGTCATCTGCAGATAGAATCATAGAAGAAAAAAAACCTAATCCAACAAGACAATACAAATATTTAAATAAATGGAAAAGAAATGATATTTCTTATTTTTCGTCAAACCTGAAATTAATCTTGGAATTGATAAATTACCTCTGAGTTTACAGAGATATTTGATAAATTACATTGAAGCAATCACGAGTACACAAAAGAGAAGAAAATAAAAAATCATATGACTGCAAATAATATTTTCTCACACAACTTGTTCAAACAATATTTTCTCACACAACTTGTTCAACCTAACATGATAAAAAACACAAGTCAAATGTTTAGAGTCTCGAATTCTCACACAAAGTACATATTTAGCCATTAGTCCCTTCATTAATCAGCCCGTTCATTTGTGTAATGGGTTAAGTTCAAATTTAGTCATTAGCCAATTCATTAGTTAAGCCTCTTCATTTGTTTAATGGGCCAAGCCCAACACAAATACATAATATTAGGAAAATAATGAGGCCCCAAATAAATGGAATCCCTAGGCATGAGTCTGGTTTGCCTGCCCCAAGAGCCAACACTGAATATAAAGATGCTATAGGCAAACTTAATATTTTGCGAATATATATTTTGAGTATAAATACATATGTTAAAAAAATAAGTAAGAGTAGCATTTTACAATAAAATGAATGTACTTTTGATAAAAAATTCTTGTTTAAGTATTAGGTTGTCTTATAAAAATAATGTGAATACTATAATAGATTTTGTCCAAACTATTTTATATGCTTTAATATTTAGTATCCAAGTTATTTCAAGTTAAATTAAACTTCTAAGTTAAAATCAAATATAAAAACATGGTTTTTATTTGAAAGAAACATAGCTGGAATTTTATACTTTAAACTTCCTAGCTTATTTCATTTCATATTTTTATAGCCAACAAAAATAGCAGCTCATCACCCATTTTCCCTAAAATTTGACACGAGTTGAGCAGCGGGTCCCACAGTGATGTCCAAAAATGTGCTGGCCTCTCGTTTCCTCACTTTCTTGCCCTTGCTGTCAGTGGGTGCCAACCAGCGCAACCCCTTTTATCGGCGATTGTTGCCACGCTCTAGAGATATAAAAAATAATAATTAGGTCAGGTGCTCCTTGATTTTTAAAACAAAGAATATCTTAGTGTGAAAATATCGATATGTTATATTGCAAGAAATGCTACGGAATTCCAAATCAATATATGTCACAGGGAGATGGAGTGTAAGTTTAGTTCATAATTCATAAATATGTTCAGATTGTTAAACAAAATAAATTATTTTAAACATTGAACTAAATCGAGCTCTTACTTATATATCAACTAATTAATCTAATGAGTCGTGTAAGAGCTCGAGCCTGAACCCGAATATCAAGATTTCGAGTTCGACTCGACTCATTTATACATTGACTTTTACTTTTTTAAATAATACTATCACATTTTACAGGGCTTTACTCAATAAAGAAAGTGACATATAAATCGATAGTAAAATGTGACGGCTAAAATTGGAATTGGTGTATTAGAGCAAGAAAAATGCTACAAGTACATAATAAATGTACACAGAGATGTACATAACACTCACATAGAGTGGGGTCCACTTAATTTTTTAGTTTTAGTACGACCCACTCAATGTGAGTGTTATGTACATGTCTATGTAAATTATGTACCTATTTCATTACTCTTAGAGCAAGGGTCACATGAAAAATTAGAAACCCTAGTCATTGATATTGGTATTATTTATTCATTTGTCCGTGCAGACATACCCTTTGGCCTCCCCCAAGAAAATCTTTCCGGCCGTCACTTTAAGCTCCTTTCATTTAATTTTCAGGCACCGGCCCGAATTTTGGGACCGTTATTTAATCTCCTCCCTATATTTCTGTATACGAATACGTTGACTGTTATTAATCCCAGGTTAGTCAAGCTCGCTGCTCGCAAATAATCATAACCTGTAAGGCTGTAATTGATCTCGGTTGACCAGTAGCCACCTGAGTCCGAGGTATGTCCAAGTTCTTCTCACCTTTATTGAAATGTTCTTCTGCTTTCAAGCTGCAATGGTTTGGCCGAATTCAACCTTTTCCTCTGTTAGAACCATTAGAAAGCATCGATTTTCGGTATTGATTCGTGTTGCCTTTTTTCTTTACAAAAAGAATTGATTTTTATTTTTTTTTTCCTCCCTAATTTGAAGTTTGCTCAAGAGTATAATCCTTAGCGTGAGAATATGGGAAAGCCCACCACCAGAAAAAGGACTCAGATCGGGTCGAAGCTCAACCCAGACGGGCACCCGAACCCCCGCAAGGCAGCCTTCGACAAGGACACAGCCGTCTTCATCGCCATGTCCCAGGAGCTGAAGGAAGAAGCCAACAAGCTTTTCCAGAGGCGGGACCACGAGGGCGCCATGCTCAAGTACGAGAAAGCTCTCAAGCTCCTTCCCCCAAACCACATCGATGCAGCCGCACTCCGTACCAACATGGCCTTGTGCTACATGCAGATGGGCCTTGCTGAGTACCCGCGGGCCGTGAGCGAGTGCAACCTGGCCCTCCAGGTGGCCCCTAAATTCAGCAAGGCCCTCTTAACGCGGGCCCGATGTTATGAGGCCCTGAATCAGCTTGCAGAGGCCCACAGGGACGTCAGTAGTGTGCTGGCCATGGAGCCCAATAACACAATCGCCCTCGAGATTGACGAGCGCGTGAAGCAGGCCGTGGAGGAAAACGGTGTCCAGATTGTGGATAAGGAAATCGAGCCGCCGGTCGAGCCTGCCAAGATACCTCTGCCTCGTAAGGTGGTCAAGGAGAAAGGGAAGAAGAGGAAGAACGCCGCCAAGTTTGAGAAGAGAAGTGTGGGGGAGAAGAATGCGGAGGAAAAGAAGCCGGAGGATAAAGTGGTGGTGGCGGAGAAAATAAGCGTCGAGGAGAAAATACCCGTCTTGAAATCGGTCAAGCTGGTTCACGGTGAGGACATCAGGTGGGCCCAGCTGCCGATAAACTGCAGCGTGCGCCTCGTGAGGGACATTGTGGTGGACAGATTTCCTGGACTGAAGGGCGTTCTCGTCAAATACAAGGACCAAGAAGGGGATTTGGTCACCATCACCACCAATGACGAGCTGAGGGCAGCCGAGGGTTTGGCCGACGACAATCGAGGCTCGTTGAGGCTCTACATTGCTGAGGTCAGTCCCGATAAAGAACCTCTCTATGAAGGGACTGGCCTTGAGGAGATACCGAATACAACTGTTGTAGTAGAGAAAGGGACCTGCGTCGAGGGCTGGATCATCCAGTTTGCGAAGATGTTCAAGAATCACGTAGGGTTCGAGTCCGATTCCTACCTGGACCTCCACGAGATCGGGATGAAGTTATATTCGGAGGCAATGGAAGAGGCTGTGACGAGAGAGGATGCACAGGAGCTCTTTGATCTTGCGGCAGACAGATTCCAGGAAATGACTGCTTTAGCCCTGTTCAACTGGGGGAACGTCCACCTGTCCAAGGCCAGAAAACGAGCTTCTGACGAATCCACCGAGTCTGCGAAAACTGCTTACGACTGGGCCCAACAGGAGTACACCCTTGCAGGCTCGAGTTACGAGGAGGCCCTGAAAGTGAAGCCTGACTTTTACGAGGGCCTACTCGCCCTCGGGCTTCAGCAGTTTGAGCAGGCGAAGCTATCATGGACTTACATGGTCGGGAGCAAGTTAGGGGTAGAGATCGGGCCCTCGGCAAAGGTGCTTGAGCTTTACAACAAGGCTGAGGACAGTATGGAAAAGGGGATGCAGATGTGGGAGGAGATGGAGGAGCAGCGTCTGAACGGGCTTTCGAAGCACGAGAAGGAGAAGGAAGAGCTAAGGAAGTTCGGGCTTGACGGGCTTTTCAGGGGCCTGCCGACCCATCAGGCGGTCCAAAGGGCCCAGAGCCTGAGCTGCCAGATTTATTTCTTGTGGGGCACGATTCTGTACGAGCGTTCGGTCGTGGAGTACAAGCTGAGCTTACCGACTTGGGAGGAGTGTTTGGAGGTTGCGATCGAGAAATTCGAGCTTGCGGGGGCCTCGTCGACTGATATTGCTGTGATGATCAAGAACCACTGCTCGAACGAGACTGCTTTAGAAGGTGGGGTTTTAGTGTAAGGGCTGCGTTTTGAATGCGCGTGGACTGATTAATTTAAGTTTCTTTCACTTGCTCACTGTTTTGGTTTGTTGATGTTGTTTAGGGTTCAAAGTGGATGAGATAGTTCATGCTTGGAGTGAGATGTATAATGCTGACAGGTGGCGAAGTGGTGTGGCGTCTTCGCGTCTCGAGCCGTTGTTCAGAAGGTGCTCCCCGAAACTGCATTCTGTTTTGGAACATCTTGCTCAGTAGTGGGGTGTGGTTTTGCCTCCAGACTAGATTGTTTAGGTAAGTCTGATGATACAGGACAACTTTTTTGTCTACTTTTTATTTTATTTAATTGCTGACATTGATCTGATGCTCTATCTACATTTTGCTTTGGTCATGCTGATCTTTATATCTAGTTAATTATAGATGCTTTTCGCTCTAATTCATTTATCTACCACTATAATTTTATATGCATGTATGAAACATATGGCGACTCTTGTTGCAATAGAGGTGGAAGATAAAATAATCTTTGGTAAAAAAGGAAGTAGTTTCGCTATTTTGCTGTGACTGATCCTTTTAGCGTTTGAGCACTTGTAGTTGAAATGACAAGTGATAAACTGGACTGAAGTAGTTGAAAACGGTAACAATTTGAAAATTGGTGGATGTTTGGTCTGAATTGCACTGTTAAGCACATTAATACCTGAATGTACGGATGTTATTTATCCGGTAGGGTTGCTTCACAGCAGGCCTTATCATTAGATGGATATACTTTTTCAACAAATGTGCATAATAGTATTCTTTTATAATAAGATGTCATACTTGAAATTACAATGTAAAACATCTTTTTAGCCTGTTCTGCAAGTTAATGTTACGAAGATAAATTCTTGGCAACTTACTGCAGATATTGCTACCTTCATTGATGAAATGGATCATTTATCTTTTGCAGGTTCTTTGTATTTTTTCATCAGCAGTTTTGCCTTTGCTTGTGAAGTAAAGGAGTGAAAGTTTTGGTGTCCCAATTGCCTATTGGATTAGACATTAGTTTTGCTTTTGTTTTGTCAGTTGGAATTTTAAAGTTGGTTTGATTATCCTCATTCTTTGTTTGAGAAGTAAATTGTGATATTGGGCCTGAAGGGATCAGGTCTTTTTTGGTACACACATATGGTGAGGCCATATAAAGGTAGAATGATTATAGAATTGGATTTGTAAAGGGTTCTTTTGCAAGGTGATAGTGTGTATGCTGTCAAGTTTGTGAATTTCATTGTATCTTGCTTGGATATTTATGGGATTTTTTTAATAGTAAACAAGAATGTCTAATATTTTTCACCTTTTATACGTATTAATAATACTAAACACCGTGTTTTCTCATGCTATATTCATGTATATCACAATAATGCTAATGTAGTAGGATCATTCTACAAGTCACCTCGTACTGTCGTACATATCTAATAGCAATTATCTCTTAATGGATGATGTAAAAAACAGGGGGAAAACGGGTGTAGTCCCACACAGGAGGAGTAGTTCGTTAGACATATATGGTCTATTTTTCATGTATAAACAATGTGGGATAACTCACAAGTGATATTCTAACAGATGACAAGTGTGCTTTTCATAATTAAATAAATAAAATTCGAAAACATGTTGCTTGTAAATACTAAAATGTCCTTACTTAATTAAGTTAAGTAACTAACATTAATAAATTTTAATTAATTTATTTAAAAGGTCTTTAATTATTTCCTTTCTTAAAGCTTAAACATAATTATATATTTCAAATAAACTCATGAATATTTATAACATTTCAATAACAATTTAGCGGTCCCTCAAATTTCTGTTCGAAATCTCCATTATTTGTTCTATGTAACTTTCCATGAACGTGAAGCTGTGACCCCCATTTTTCTCCGCCGTGTGGTGCTTGTTTCTGATCGGAATCCAATTCTCAAAATCGACGATTTTGGTTGCTAACCGATTTCAATCCTCCATGTTCAAAAGGTATCTCGAATATGAAGGAAGCAATTGTGAAAGGGTTAGTGTTGCAAGCTGAGGATTTTAAGACATCTGGGTTCGATTCGAGGGATGCCCAGGTGTGTAAGTTGGTGGTGTATGAATTCGATGTTGAGATTGATAATAAAGTGATGCCGTTGAAGTTGTTGGAGGATGTGAACAGATGGGAATACGTGGATTTTACCATTTTCCAAACTGAGCACCCTGTTCGACCCGGTGACGAACATGGGCTGCTACCAAGAAGTTGTGGTGGACACAGGCAGCTCAGTCGACATCATATTCGTACATTGCTTGGAGCAGATGGTCCTAAAGACAGAAGTTGAACCAATCACTGCAGCTCTCTACGATTTCAGTGGAGGAGAAGTTAAGCCTGTAGGCGAGGTGTACTTGTCAGTAGTGCTAGTAGTTCTAGGGCAGTTACCTTTAAAGACACGAAAGTTGATCAGATTCATGGTGGTGAATTCCATCTCGACTTACAATGTCATTGTAGGGCAATCCAATTTGAATTCTTTTCAGGCGGCAATATCGACCAACTACATGAAGGTGAAGTTCCCAGTTGGGAATCAGGTCGATGAGGTCTCAGGAGATCAACGGCACGCCAGGAAGTGCTACCAAGTAATACTAAAAAGCTCAGAAGCCTGAGACCTCATCGCAAGACGACTTGTAGTACTAGAAGCGTGTGTTTGTATTTTTTATTTATGTTTTAGTGGTTATTCTCCATTCATTGGAGTTATTAGTCTCCGTTATTGAAGTTAGTGAGTCTCTCTTTATGGGGGCTTAGTAGTTGTGTTGTGGTTTTTCTTGTTAGTGTGTAGTAGGAATTAGGTTAGTTCTAGGCTGCTGTGTGCACTTCTCCTAGATCCAGCTTTTATAACTATTTGATTATGCAATTCGTTGTTTTTTATCTTGTAATTACCTCGTTTATTTAATGCGTTTATCGTTTCTCAAAAAAAAAAAAAAAATCTTAAAAAGTTTCTAGAATTCTGAAATAAATTCTTAAAATGTTTCGACTGAATACACCCTCCTTACCTATGATGACGATTTCGTCTCCTCTACAATCCACTTTTCTTTGTGCATGAAATTTAAAGCGGAGGCAATGCATAATCAAAGAAGCCAAAAAAAGAAAGAAAAAAAATCCGCCGGAGAGTCTATTATTTGTTTTCTCCTCTATCTCCACCATCTAACCTTGTCGGAATCTTATCACCAATACCATTACTATCACTAGTATCGTTCGATTTCCCAAACGTAGGCCAACTATGGCTCGAATTGTGATGTCCCCTAATGATGCTCGACCTCACGTGCTCCGGCAGCACTAGAGTATATCTATCCCGACCCGCTCCCAATGAATGACCCGTCGAGTGCGACCTCACGTGCTTGTCCACGTCACCACTTTCTTGTTTGTCCTCGTCGTCTCTTTCCTTGATCGTGATGGTGTAGCTTTCAGACCCCACCCCCGCTGCCTCATCACTGCGGCTCGGGGACTTGGTGGGCGATTGGGCCGCTGGGGAGTCGAGGTTCCGTCGGCACACGGGGCACGTGCGGTGGTTCCCGAGCCAGAGGTCCACGCACTCTTCATGGAACACGTGATAGCACGTGGTCAACAGCCGGAGGACGTCATCGCCTTGAAACTCAACGAGGCATATGGCACACTCGAGCCCGTACTTTTCCTTTCGGAAGCCCTCGACGGTCGAGTAGGCGAAGGTGGGGAACGAGCGGATAAGAACAGGGTCGAGGCCTGTTCCGGGTGTATCAGGGGCGGGCGGGGTAGTGGGACTAGAGCCATCCCCTGTGGGGCTGCGATGGAGGCTCGTGCACGAGCTGAGAAAGTTGCGACAGAAATAGATGGAGAAGAAAATCAGGAAGAAGATAAGGAGTAGGACAGAGGTGAGAACGATGATAAAAGGCGGTAATCCGTAGGGCGCTGTGATTGGCGGAGGCGGTGGAGGCGGAGGCAAAGGTTGGACGGAGCCCATTACCATTGCCCAACGGCCAGGAGATTGGAAGGAGGGTGAAAGAG